GGAAGTTAAATTATTCTGTAATTTGAACTTAATACTTGGAGAATACAAATTTAAACACTTCTATATTTGAATGTATAGAGAAAGTATCACCGTGGACCACGAGCGTAGTGTTTGCCGAAGGGATCGAACCCTGAATTTCATATATATATATATATATATATAAGCCCTAAAGCTTACCGCTAGGCCACCAGGGGACGATTTACGAACCATTTTTTTGTTCGGATAGTTTACTAAACTTTTCTGAAGGTCTTTACATAAAAAATAGTGGGTGTTGTACTTGCAGAAATTATTTTATGCTATGACGTTTCGCGGATAATCCTCGTTTCAAGTATTGATGTACACGCGCGCGCGAAGTTGGAAATTATAGTTAGCAATAAGTTTGAAAACGTACAACGCTGAAATCCTGAGTTTGATTCCCCGCGGTGGAAAGGGCGCAGCTAGCCCATTGTTTAGCTTGTCGCTAAAACAGCGTGAAACTGGTTTTTACTGGAAGTGTATTTTCTGTTAAACTCGAAATGAAACTTTTAATATGGAAGTAAGTATTTTTTTTATTATTATTATTAATAATATCTAAAAACGAGTCTGCAAAACGCAAGGATTTTCATTTTAGGATAGCTAAATGCGTTTGTAAAGCTAACCAATATTTTTACCTCCGCCACCGAAGGTGGACAGTCGTTATGTTTTCACTCCTACGAGCGTTTGTCAGCAAGATTTCTCGAAAACGGTAAGTGGATTTGGATGAAAGTTTGTATACATTTGGACTATGACCCAACCTAAAAGTGACTAGTTTTTGGAGAATCAAGGTCAAGGTCACGAAAAATCCTGTCCGTTAACATGGGAACTGATTTTCACACTATTTTTGCTCTGTAACTCAGTCAAAAATGATCGGATTTTAATGAAACTTTGTGAACATATGTAAAATATTATTCCTCGTTGTCCTGCCAAAAATGGTCCGTGTCTAGTGATAACGACAAACGTACGGACACAGTTTACTATATTTTGAGAACCGAATATGGTCAACGCTGCTTAGCGGAGGTATGTGTTCTAATGAGCGCCCATCAAGTTTATCCTGTAAAAACTTTTAAAAGTAAATCCTTCAACCATTGACATATATACCTTGCAATAAAAAAATCTGACCAAGGCAATCACTATCTCAATGTTAACAGCTAACTGAAAGAAACAGATATTTAAATCCAACATAAGGTACTAAAAGTTTCATAATCTGTTCATAGATGGAGCCACTTTACAGACTCAACCATACAAATAGCAATCGGATATCAAAATTATCAATTCGTATCAGTCATTGTACTATTTGCGATAAAAGTGGATAATAAGAAATACTGCCTGATAAATGTTTTCTTGAAACTGAGTTAGTTTCATTCGACAAAGATTTATATAGATTTCTGGCATTTTTTTTTTATTATTTTTTTTTTTATATACCATTATTTCTGTTAAATACACATTCTTGTAACAGCCAATCCAAATACGTAATGATATAGAGATGTAATGTCGTTAATCGGGCTTAACTCGTATCACGAGTAACCTAGTTAGTGCTGCACTGGAAGCGTTAAAGATTAATGATGATATTTCATTTTTACATCTTGGATCGGTCGTGGCCAAAAGTGGTTAGAGTTTCACATGGAGACGTGTCAGCCACTGAAGATGTAGTTGTGTTACCAGAGTGACAATCCAGTTATTTGGTTACAAAATCTGAGCAAAGGGCCTTGTGGCGGCGCATGCTGTTGGTTGGCCGCCTTCCATCTGGCCAGGTGTCTATAATTATGTGTACATCTATACCCGAATTATGAGGTATCCGGCGTACCCCCTTTTCTAGTTGCAAATTTCGGATGTGTCTTCGAGTGCAATATATTACACTGTATTTGAGTGTTTATTAACGGTTCGAGTGCAATATATTACACTGTATTTGAGTGTTTATTAACGGTTCGAGTGCAATATATTACACTGTATTTGAGTGTTTATTAACGGAACGGTTAATTAATATCGGTCTTTTTTTTTTTTTTTTTAATGTGGATAAGATGGAAATAACCCAGAATATTTTTTGAATCGGCAAAATTTAACAACGGTGTTAAACCGCGTATGAGGTGCCAATCAGGGTGACGAAAGAAGATACCGAAACCTACGAATTATGAGCGATGGAGTACTTTTATTTTCACGCCTGAGAAGTCCAAAATGAAAATAAAACCCATTATGTAAATGGCTAGAGTGCTCTGGAAAAACACGAGCGTTAACGACACTTGATGCTGGCGTATAAAGCAAGCGATGCATTGTGGTTAGTTACATTTTTCAAATATACGTACTTTAAAATGTAGAAATGCATTTTCTTACTTAATTTACTATCCCACAAATAGCAGTTTCAAAACTACGATTGTTTTAGTCCTCTATTTTGGAGTGTACAAGTGCAAGTGTTAAGATGAATTTATCACAACTATGAGTGTCAAAAATACTAGGGAATTGCGGGTAGGAAATAAAGCTCGAGTTGTTTACAGTTAACGTAATACCTGTAATCAGCAAGTAATTACGTTTTAATTACTGGTGTGATTATTCTCAAGTATACAGGTTTTAACAGTAAAGGAGATTTATAAAGGGCATTTCTTTGCGGTCATGTTTATACAAGGTACAGCAGTAGGCATGTGCCAGTAGCAAAGCCTCAAAAGATAAAGAAAATGCAGGCAGGGAGGCTAGTGATGAGGTGAAAAGTCCTAATCAGTTGAACATAAACATCTGCTCAGTATAGAGTTATTGGAGGTAGAGACCACAACAGTAGAAACCTCGTTTTAAAGGGGGGGAGAGTAAGAGGTTCGTTAGAAACCTCGTTTTAAAGGGGGGGAGAGTAAGAGGTTCGTTAGAAACCTCGTTTTAAAGGGGGTGTTAATACTTTTAGAGGGACAACAAAATCACACCCTAAACAACCAATAAGTCTGCACTGTTTATTATTGAAGTTTTCATGAATCTTTATACATACATGCAGGTGCTTGAACAATGCAATATTTTACATTCTTGTACAAAAATAATTTATTTTTTTAGTTACAAGATATTTTGAAAAGTCCACGATTACTATATATCAATATTAGGAATGTTTCTGTTCAAAATAACCACTGGTTACTCTACTGCTATAACAACTCAGGAAGCTTGCTCAAAATAAATATTAATTGTTAAAACTAACATGTGGTGAATAGAAAAGTATGGACAGTACTCTTTAACCGATCACAAATAGGATTTGTTTAGAATTCAACAAGTTATGTCTTAAGTTCAATTATACATTAAATTTGTAAGCAGGATGAATGTTACACTTATCATAGGTGTGTTTTTACTTCTATTGTTTAATATTTTATTAAATTATGTAATGAATAAATTTAAGATATTCAAATTATTACACTGACATTCAAATTCTAGAGAATCCGTTAATTTATAAGCTATATCAGAAAACAAGAGTATAATTAATTAAACTACCTAATACACTATATACAGAGATAGAAAACTTTAGAAAACAAACACCAGTTCAGTACATGTTAGCATTGTTAAAAATAGGTATAGATAAATTTGTATTTTTTTTTTACAACAACAACAATCTAACCAATGTTTATGGTCATTAGAAAAGCCTAAAACTCAATTTTTTTGTAACTACATCATTGAACGTTTTTTTTTTTGTTTGTTGTAAAATATTTAATGAGCATTTCATACTTTGATTAAACCACTTATACAATTTGTTTTCTAACATCAGCAAACTTCCTATTAAATTTTTCAGAAACTAGTGATCTTACCACAGTTTTAGTAGAAATATATCAACTTTTAGTTAATTGGACAGTGAATTCATGAACAAGTTACATTTACTGGAACAAGCCTACAGTGGTTTGTTTTCCACTGGAACAACATTTTAGATATACTAACCACTTATTTGATTACCATTGAAACTTGTTACATAACCGGAAATTACAAAGAATACTTATAAAATCTTAGGAGTTAGACCTAATAGCCTAAATATGAAGAACCTGCACAAGTCTGTTACACAGCTCTTTTCAATTAGAAAGAAAAAAAAAAACTATTTCACTTAAAATTACAGCAAAAACTTGGTTAAGTGCAGTATTTTGAAGTCCATCAAGTTGAAATACTTGTAATAAGACTGCTTTCATTTTAACATTAAACTAGTACAAGTTATTTCTAAAAGAAAATTAACATTCAGAATTATATGTTGTACAATCCCTTAAGACAATTTCTACCAAATGACTAATACCAAGTTTTAATTGTGAACAGTAACCCCTCCCTTACAATGCAACGTCCCCCCCCAATGAAAAACTTTTAAATCATGTACAAGCACTGTTATAGAATAAGTAGTATAATTAGTAAACAGATTGATGATTTGCTTTAAGTAATTAGTTTAAAGTTCTTAAATAGTGAGAGAAACCATATAAAAAGAATTATTATTGATGAAAGCTAAATTTATCAATATTAATATGGATAAAAGCTATTGAAGAGAGTTATTAAAAATATTTTAAACTAAATAACTCCCCGCTGTAGTTCTACACAACTGCTAAATAACTCCCCACTGTAGTTCTACACAACTGCTAAATAACTCCCCACTGTAGTTCTACACAACTGTAATTTTTTAATAGAATACTGAAAACGAGAAAGCGTTAAATATTAATTATAAAAACCAGCTTACATTTCAATTAAAGTCTGTTTTACTAAACTATCAAAACATGCTGGTTTTCAAAGCTTTTTTTTTATAAATTGACCACAGTTAGAATGAAATACGATAAGGATGTCCAGTGTCAAAGTAAGAGAACAAAACTAGTTCATGACTGAATCATCAAGGTAACTTACTATGTTTTTACTTATTTGGTAAAATAAATAATCCATCTCCTTTTCATTCATTCAGTAAGAAGAGTTACCTAACGTTTTGTTGTTTTTTTTTGGGGGGGGGGGGGGGG